AGGAGTCTTCCATAAGCATTTATAAGAAAGGTTTGGTGCCACACAAGCCCCTTGATCACCTTCTTCTTTTGTCTGATTCTGGTCTTCAGACAAACTAAATCCTTCATTCATAGGAAACCTACTTCACCCCATCTTATTCTAGAAGAAAGGTAAACCATTGTTTCCAGAGCACTGTATGTGGTTAATATGGGGTTTCACACGCTGAGAAACCTCCCAATAATAACTCCTTATCCTGTGGACTTTCAAGATACTCATAGTTCCAGGGTACTTAGCCTCATTTATGAAAATTGGCTATGGCTTTCATTTGTGCAGTGAGAGGAAGATAGTCCTCTGGTTAAGGCCTGGACTGGGACACAGGAGATCTGGATTCAGTTTCTGGTTCTGCCACAGACTTTCAGTGTGACTTTGGGCATGTCACTTAAGGCTTGATTTTCAGAGGTGTTGGAAGACCTCCAGCTGCCACTGACTTCAGTACAAGTTGCAGATCGGGGTGGGCAAACTACGGCCCATGGGCCGCATCTTGCCCTTCTGACATTTTAATCCAGCCCTCGAGCTGCTGCCTGGAGAGTGGGATTGGGGGCTTGCTCCACATGGCTCCTCAAAGCAGTGGCACGTCCCCCTCTGGTTCCTACACGTAGGAGCAGCCAGGAGGCTCTGCACACTGCCCCTGCCCCAAGCGCTGCCCCTGCAGCTCCCATTGGTCAGCAAATGGGGCCAATGGAAGCTTCAGGGGTGGCGCCTGCAGACGGGGCAGCATGCAGAGCCGCCTGGCTGTGCCTCCATGTAGGAGCCAGAGGGGGGACATGCTGCTGCTTCCCAGAACTGCTTGAGGTAAGTGCCGCTCGGAGCCTGCACCCCAACCCTGTCCTGCGCCCCAACCCCTTCCCCAGCCCTGAGCCCCCTCCCTCCACCTGAAACCCTCAGTCCCACCCTCCTGCACCACAGAGCCCACACCCCTAGCCAGAGCCCTCACCCCCACACCCGCACCCCTCCTCCAGCCCGGAGCCCCCTCCCACAACCTGAACTCCTCATTTCTGGCCCCACTCCAGAACACACACCCCCAGCCAGAGTCCTCACCCCCACCCCAACCCCAATTTTGTGAGCATTCATGGCCCACCTTACAATTTCCATACCCAGATGTGGTCCTTAAGCCAAAAGGTTTGCCCACCCCTGTTGTAGATACTCAGCACAGGCATGTTCATAGACTCATAGAATATCCGGAAGGGACCTCAGGAGGTCATCTAGTCCAACCCCCTGCTCAAAGTAGGACCAATCCCCAATTAAATCATCCCAGCCAGGGCTTTGTCAAGCCTGACCTTAAAAACTTCTAAGGAAGGAGATTCTACCACCTCCTTAGGTAACGCATTCCAGTGTTTCACCACCCTCCCAATGAAAAAGTTTTTCCTAATATCCAACCTAAACTTCCCCCACTGCAACTTGAGACCATTAGTCCTTGTCCTGTCCTCTTCTACCACTGAGAATATTATGAGAATAAATTAATTATTAGGAATCACTTGGCTGCTATAGCAGTAGGGAACATAGAAAGTACCTTGTAATGGGGTCTACAAACCCCATACTGAACAAAGGCAAAAGTGGGGGGGGAAGGGAGCCTCTCCTGCCTACAGGCAAGCAGCATCACCACACCTCCATGCAGCTGCCACAACTGACAATCGTGGAGGTAGGCACTCAGCTGCAACCAATAATAGAAACAAGGCCTGCTGTAAAAGGAGAGAGCTCAAAGAAGGAAAGGAGTCAGAAAGGCCTGGAACAATAAAGGGGTCACACCCCTCTACCATGCTGCCTTCAAAAATGCAGCCCATAGGGACTGAAGCAGACCACTGGGCCGAATTAGAGGCCAGAAGCCAAAAAGTGTCCTGAGTGGGGGCGAACCAAAGAAAGCCGGTCAGGGAGCAACAGAGACCCCCTGAAAGACTACAGCAAGGTCTAGTGACATATCTCAACAGATAAAAGGTGAAACAGCCAGTAGAGTTTGAATGTGTCTAAATTTTCAGTGTTTAATAAGTGCCAAAGCTTCACCAGGCCTGGGTGCTGGTCTTGGTGAGATGCTTCTCCCAAAGTTTGACATCAACACATCCTTGGGGTTCTGTGTAGAGCAGATTTGAGACAGTTGAAGTCCATCCAAACTCTTGTTTTTTCCTAACAGTTTCTTGGGTATTGATATTAAAAGAGAACATGACTAAGGATTGCCTATTACTAGGGCCCTGCCAAATTAATGGCTGTGAAAAATGCTTCATGGACCATGAAATATGGTGTATTGTGTACTTTTACCTTTATACTATACAGATTTCAGGGGTGAAAACAGCATTTCTCAAACAGGAGGTCCTGATCCAAAGGGGAGTTATGGGGCTTTGCAAGATTATTGTAGGGGGGTCATGGTATTGCCACCTTTACTTCTGCACTGCCTTCAAAGCTAGGTGGCTGGAGAGTGGCAGCTGTTGGCTAGGCACCCAGCTCTGAAGGCAACACGGAAGTAAGATTGGCAATACCAGACCATGCTATCCTTACTTCGGTGCTGCTGTCTCCAGAGCTGGGCAGCTGGGGAGTGGTAGCTGCTGGCTGAGGGCCCAACTCTGAAGGCAGCAGTGCAGAAATCAGGGTAGCAATACCGTACCATGCCATCCTTACTTCTGCACTGCTCTTGTCAGTGGTGTTCAGAGCTGGGCTCCTGGCTAGCAGTTGCCGCTCTCCAGCTGCCCAGCTCCGAAGGCAGCAGCAGCACAGGAGTAAGGGTGGCGATACCAAGACCTCCCTACAATAACCTTGCCACCCCTGCCCAACGCCCTTTTTGGTCAAAACCCTTATAGTTACAACACCATGAAATTTTGGATTTAAATATGTGAAATCATGAAATTTATATTTTTTTAAATCCCATGACCATGAAATTGACCAAAATGGACCATGAATTTGGTAGGGCCCTAATTATTACCATCTCTTATTAATATGATCTGGATAGCTGGTACTTAGAAGGTCACATCCTGTCTTACACTATCAGAAGTAGAGCAAACATCTTTCGCTATGAACCTCAGGGATGCAGGTAGACAAATGCAGGTAGCTACATGACCCTCCTGGCTTGCGTTTATGTAGCTTATGTTTCTTGTATCCTTCTGCTACCAGTAAATCCTTCATTGGCTTCCTCGGCCTATACCTCTGAAGTAAAGAGGTGTAAAGTCTCCCACTGTTTAGATATTTGTTTCTTTTGTGCTATCCCTTGTTTAGGTTGGCAAATTTTCTTTTTATTGGATTCAGTCTGGAAGATCTTTGGTTTTTTGGCTGATGGTCTTTGGAGGTTCCTGATCCTTCCTTTCCCTTATTTAAAAAAAGGAAAGAATGGAAAGAAACCTTACTAGTTGTTTATATAACATGGATTGATATTTTCATCACTGCCGGATGCAGTGTGTGAACTTTTAGTAGAAAGCACAATCCCTCAAGCTATGTGCACTATGAGAGTGAGAATCCTGGATGATGGTTTCTTTAAAGAAGGAGAAATCACTTACATTGTAATTATGCTTCTTTACTGATATAGTCTCCCAGGATTTTTACTCACTCTTCCACCTCCTAACAGTGTTTGGGGTTTTCAGTTCTGAGGGATTTTGCCTGTATGGATGTACTTAGTTGAATGTTTCACCTTTTTGCTCCAAAAAGGAATGACAGTTGAATGCTCTACTGTGTTCTGCCACTCGTGCTGCTGGAGAAGAGTGTTATACCTGTTGGCATTGGTGAATGGGTATGCTAAGGGTGCAACCCTCAAAAACTCCTTAGTTTTGAGAGTTCCCAGTCAGTCTCTGTCTAAATGTATGAGACCCAAGAGTGAGAATCCTGTGTAATGACCAGTTCAAAGAAGCAGAATTACAAAGAAGGTATGTACTATATGTGCTGTAGTGCCTAAATGTAATATGTCAAGAATTGAAGGTATTACTAATAAAACAGCTACTCTCTTGAATGACAATACCTCCCAGAAGTTTTACAAAAGCTACTTTTACTGTTAGCCTTTTACCACATAATCCATTGTACAGAAACATACTTCTATTAGTTCTCAAACTCTGGTCTGTGGCCCACTAGTGGCCCACTGAACACTTACTGGTGGCTCACAGAGAGCTGGTTGGTTAGTTGGTACTGCCTCTTCTCCTTGCTTCCAGCTGCCTCTGCAGTTGTAAAAGCAGCTGAAAACAAAGAGGATGAGCCATCACTACAGCTTTCACTAGTGGGCTGCTGTCACACAGGAGGAGGAGAGGAAACAGAAGCTACCTTCAGTGACTGAAGCTCCCAGTAGGACTAGAACTGCCAGCGGTCTTTCTGTGAGAGAGGTAATGAGACAACTTGACAGCATGTTCAAGGGAGAAGGAAGCCAAAAGCATGAGCAGAATGCGTAGGGAGAGAGGAGGATCAGGCAAGCATTTGCATGGGTTTAGGAACAGGTAGAGGAACAGAGCGGATAGGAAGGTAGATTAAATGAAGAGCAAAATGAGACCATTTGGGTAACTTATTTTTTAAAAAGACAAAACGTATTAATGAGAGCTAAAATATGTAAATATAAACATTTAATTTTTCTCTTCCATGTAAAGTAATGCACATGTTTAATTTTATAAAATATTATACATATTTTAAAAATATTTCTTTGAGGACGGTAAAACATAAGTTAAGTAGTATAATTCTCCTACAGCTAGCAGAAAAAATATGGATCAAGTCTTACACAATAGTACTTTTAAATGGATTTTACGGTGTAAAACCTGATCAGAAGCTATGTAGATTTTCTGTAGGTTTTTGGTCCAACAAACTTTAAGTAGCTTTTCATTACAGTAGTTCCCCAAGCCATTCTTATGTTGTTAACAAAGTTGATTTTCATTTAAGAATAACTCTGTACGTGTTTTCTTTCAGTTTTAGTTGTTTCTCCCACTTGAGATACTGGAGAATGCTGACACTGGAAAATTACTTACTGCTTTATACTAGCTACAAGGATGTTCATATGCTTAATTCCACAGGAAAAAGAGATGAAGGAAGAAAGAGGTTACTAACAATACCATCAGTGCCACATGTGACAGATCACCCACTTATGGGAATTCAAAGTAAAAAGAATTTCATAAATACAAATGCAGCAGATGTTATCATGGGAGTGGCTAAGAAGCCTCAACCTATTTGTGTTGACACGAGACAAGGACACAAATATCTCCTTGAAACTTCAGGACTTGTCCCAAAATACATTAATAAAAAGGTATGTTTTGTTAAATTATAGGGGGAGTTATACTTGGGTTGCCTAACACTTTTCATTTTAAAAGATGCATCTGACTTTTTCTGAGAATTTCTAATAGTCCATTGTTTGCAGTAGACATTTGAAATTCATCAGGGAGAAAGCCCTAGGATGAGAGAAGTGCCTTTTCTTTTTACCATGAAATGTTGTTCAGGTTTGGATCAGATATAAGATTTTGAGTAGTCTCCTTCTCCTTCTCTTGTATTGTCAACAAACCTTTGGCAGCATGCCAAAATAATAACCAACTATGAACATTCTAAAGAGCTAAGTGAAATTGACATGATTCATGTCATCTTCACCACTGTAATCCCTGAATGGCAGTCCTTAAAGAGACTAGACCGGGCAGCAGTGAAACTCAGAAGAAACATATAAGAAGATCCCATGACTTCCAGGGTTTGTGGCTCCAGGGCAGCCCCACCATACAGACTGTCCCAGAGCTGTGGGCTCCAGAGCTTCCAAACTCCTGGGCCAGCTGGCCCTCCAGGCTGCCCAACTTCCAGAGCCACTGGAGCCAGCTGGCCCAAGAGTCCAGTTCAGGACCAGAGAGTCCAGAAGCCCTGAAAACCCCAGCTCAAGTTGGGGCTCTCAGGGCTTTTAGGCTCCCTTGCTGCAGTGCCTGGTGCCTCAACCCTGACAGTCAGGGATTGAGCTGGGGCTATCAAGGCTTTCAGAGCTGCCAGGATCCTTACTTGAAGCCTGAGTAGCAATGACTGAGCTGGAACCTGGGGCTCACAGGAATTCCAGGCTCCGTGCTGCAGGTTTCCACGTGTTTTTGTGAAACATTTTGGGATCCATAGATTGGCATTTTCAAGCTAAACTTTTTTGTTAGGAAACTTCCAACAAACTCTAGTCACAAGCTCCCTAAGGGAAGAATTGCAGAGGCTGAACTCACTCAGGCCTGCTGAGTAATTGTGGGAGATACACAAGGAGCTGTAACCCCAGGATCCTGGTCTAAGAGTGGGAGAATTGTGGGGCTCCACCCCAGGACAAAAAGAGGGTACAGAGTTGCAGATAGTTCTCTACTGTGATACATCAGTTCTGGCATTTTCTAACTGTTGAGTGCATGACCCTGAAAGCTGCATAACATTCTTTTAACGTAGGTTTTTTTTGGAGGGAGTTGTATGTAATATTATTAATGACAGGGTTGAGATTTTAAATTATTTGAAGTAGAATGGGCATTGCTGTACATACTACCAAGAGCCATATTTTTACAAGGACTATCACCTAACAGCTGACAACATATCTTCCAGTATGAGCCAAATTCAAAAATAATACAATGAAAACTCCATTTCTAGTGAAGCAGAAATGAAAATCCTAAACTTTTTCAGTGTATTGTAGTGCATATTGAAACTCCTTTATTATGAAACTCCATTTACAAGGCCATATCCTTGTGCAGCCTCCATTGGGCTCCAAAGCAGCTAAAAAAAATACTAGTCCTGATTCTCCAGAATTTTGCACCTTGACTAGTCATTTACAACTGTGTAGTGAGGGTATAAAGTGCTATCAAATCAGAAAGGCAAGACTGCAGAGGAGTAAATGGCTGGCTACTCAAAGTGCAAGTCAGTGAAAAATCAGGCCCTACATGATGACTGTGCAGGAGGAAAAGACAAGCATCAGACACTACACAGAGGGACTGTGATGCAGTGTATAAACCCCTCACTGAACAGAAAGAGGTCTAGGAGAGTCTGTGTACTAAGGTTGCTCTGACCCTCTAGCCCTGCCAATCATGAATAGTAGGGAGAAGGGCTTTAAAAGGAGGAAGCTGTAGTCCGCAAGGGAGAAAGCCCCAAGAAGGGAAAGTAGAGTGGCTCCTGAAACAGGAAGAGGAGCCCTTATGCTCAGAGCCCTGCGCAAATACAAAAATGTGGATCCACATCCACCAGAATCGACCCGCGATCCGCTATCCGTCTTTTATGTGTATCCGCACCTGCAACAGCAACCCGTGTCACAAGTGCTAGCGGGGTGGGGACAGGGAGCAGAGATGAGTGAGTGGAGGGGTGGGGTCTTGCAGGGAAGGGGGGGTGCGAGGGCAGGGACCGGGGGTAAGGTGCGGCGCAAGGGTGGGGTCTCGATGACAAGGGGCAGTGTGGGGGCAGGGGCTGGGGGGAAGGGGCGTCACATCGCATGTTGATCCTGGGGGCTCGCGAATAACGGCACATGCCACGACAGCACCAATGCGTGTTGCATCACAGCAGGGTAGAGGGGTGGGGTTCCAGAGCCCCGCCTGCTCCAATCCCTGCAGCTGGGGGCAGGCCCTGCTGCCCAGGAGCTGGCAGGCTGGGAGCGCAGCCAGTGCTTCCTAGGCGGGCCAGGCCATGGTGGGGACATTGGTGCTGCCCCAGGGGCCCGAGCTGCTGAACAGGAAGCAGCGCAGCAAGTGGCTGCTGGAGAGCCCTGACTCCGGCCTGCCGCCCAGCCACTGGCTGCTGGCCACCAGCTCCGAGCACGCTGCCCGAATCAGGCGCCACGGGCCAGGCACCGCCGGTGAGTAGAGTCCCGCACAGTTGGATCTGCATCCAATCCACTGTCCACAAAAATGGTCCACATCCGCGGATGCAGATATGAAGCGGATATCCATGGATTTGCAAGGGGGTGGTTCCTGGCCTGCACCGCTTCCTGCAGCTCCCATTGGCCGGGAAAGGCAAACTACTACCACTGGGAGCTGTGGGGGACCATGCCTGCAGACGGTCAACGTAAACAAAATGTCTTGTGGCCCGCCAGTGGATTACCCTGATGGGCCACATGCTGAAGGTTACTGACCACTGTCCTATCCAGTCATGCTAGGCAGAGACTAGGAACACTTCAGCGAGATCTTGCCAGAACAGGCAAAACCCCAGCCTTGGAATCTAGGACATGCCCCTACAAAAGTAGAGTGGGTTAGGGTAATTGAACTTGAAGACCCTGATGAAGGACCTTCAGACTGGGGGTCTTGCCCCTTACCCCATTCTTGCCCGTTACCCCATTCTTACCCCTCACCCAAGGATGAGACATACAGTGCCTGGGCCAATATCCTTGCCCGAGACACCAGTTTTGTGAGGGAAGAGCAGGTAGATCCCACCCTTTCGTGGATATGCAACAAATTAGCTACAGTCAATGTGGACGTAGTAGACCCCAGAAGGAGAGACAGTGGCCCCACTTCAAGCTATGAGGGGAATGGCTCTATCACAAAAAGCAAAACAGGGTCCAGCTGCTAGTCCCTAACATTTATCAATGGGAGGTACTAGGGTTGGCCCATGAGGTCCCCTGTGCAGGACATTTCGGGAGGGAGAAAACCTTTGACTGCTTCACAGGATACTTTTGCTGGCGCAGAGCATTTCAAGATGTGCGGACTATTGTGCTTCTTGTCCGAACTGCCAGCTGTCCAGGTGGTCATCCCTCATTCCACTGCTCCTAATGGAAACCCCTTTTGATAGGATATGATTGGATCTAGTTGGCCCCTTAAAAAATAGTTCAGTGGGCCATCAATATATTTTAGTGGTAATTGGTGTATGCAACACATTACCTGGAAGCCATTCCCCTGTGATCGATTAACATGAGCACAATAGTCAGTGAGCTGATGAAGGTGTTTGCCAGGGTAGGCCTGTTGTGGGAAATCTTGACAGATCAAGGGCCCAACCTTACATCCCAGTTGATGCGAGAGCTGTGTAAGCTTTTGAAGATAGAGAAATTGAAAATATCAGTCTTCCATCCCTAAATAGACCACTTGGTGGAACGTTTCATCAAAACCCTCAAAAAGATGTTGAGGAAGTTTGTCACCACTAACCCCAAATGATGGGACGAACTATTGCCCCCACTACTGTTTGCCATCTCAGAAGTACCCTGCCCTCTATGGACTTTTCCCCTTTCAAGATATTGTATGGTGGCAATGCAGAAGCATCCTCAATTTGTTATAGGAGTCGTGGGAAAACTGAGAACCAGAGGCAGAAAACTTGGTGCAATATGTCCTCCAGCTGCGTGAGCTTATTAAAAGGTTGAGGACCTTCACTTGCGAAAACCTACAGAAGGCCCAACAATGTGAGGAGGCAGCCTACAACCAAGGAGCGGGACTACACATGTTCAAGCCAGGCAACTGAGTAGTCCTACTGTTGTCAAGTTTGAGTCCAAGTTATTACCCCAATGGCAAGGGCCTTTCAAGGTACTGCATCAGGTAGGCCCCTAGATTATGTGATACAGCATCCGGGGAAAAGGATAGAAACTCAATCTATCATGTCAATTTACTGAAGGCCTGGCATGATAGGGAGGCCCTTTTAATCACTCCCCTTACCCCAGACCCTGAGCTGGGTACCAAGATCCCGACAATGGAAAGGATCAGTTCTGTCGAGAAGGGGGAGACCCTAAGGGCATATCAAAAGACTCATCTGGACCTGTTAATACAAGCATTCCCCCAGGCATTTTCAGTCCTTCCAGGACATACCATCACATTCAGCTGGAACCTGAATGGATGGTAAGAGAGACTGTTTGACCTTTACTCAGGAGGATGTGGGACACCATCAAGGCTGAACTCCAAACTATGCTGGACTTGGGCATGGTGGAGGAGTCACACAGTGAATAGTGAAGCCCCATAGTTGTCATCCCAAAACCCAGTGGTATGATGAGATTTTGCATTAATTTCCATAAAGTCAGTGCAGTTTTCAAGTTTGATACATGCCCCATGCAGAGGCACCAACTTTGTGATTTGCCGGGGGGGGGTACTCGACACCTGCCCCAGCCCTGCCCCCACTCCGCTCCATCTCCCAACCCCTCCCCACCTCTTCCCACTTTTGCCCCACCTCATACTGCCCTGTTCAACCCCCTCCCCTGAGCATGCCCAGCCCCCGCTCCTCCCCCCCCCCCACACCTCCTGCATGCCGCTGAACAGCTGATCGTGGCAGTCAGGAGGCGCTGGGAAGGAGGGGGAGAAGCTGATCCATGGGGCTGCCGGTGGGTGCTGAGTACCTGCTATTTTTTGGAGCACCCATGGAGTTGGCACCTATTGCCCCATGCCTAGGGTAGGTATGCTACTGGAACATTTTGGGGCAGCAAGGTACAGATATACAATTAATCTTACAAAAAGGTATGGGGTAGATTCCATGGACTCTGGAGTCCAGAGAGAAAACTGCATTTGCCCACTAGTCAGGCTGTACCACTCTTGAACAATGCCATATGGGCTACATGGAGCTGTGGCGACCTTTCAAAGACTAGTGAGCCAGGTCCTCCTCCTATGTGGGCGATAAGCCACTGCTTATTCAGATAAGCCACTGCTATAATTATATATAGCCAAGATTTGGACAGCCACCTTGGCCGTGTTACCGAAATATTGCAGTCAGTCGCCAGCAACAGCCTAACTGTCAACCCAGCTAAGTGCAAGATTGGGAACTCTGATGCCACCTACTTGGGAATATGGTGGAGGTGAACATATATGCCCACTCGTGGACAAGGTACAGGCTTTAGCCAACTATCTGAGGCCCATGACCAAGAAGCAAGTTAGACAATTTCTGGGTTTGCCTGGATGTTACAGGCACTTCATGCCAAACTTTGCAACCACCCAGCCTCCCTCACAGACCTGATGAGGGATGGGAAACCACAGAAGATGCAGTAGTTTGATGCTTGCAGTAAGGCCTTTAGAACATTACAAGAGAGCTTATGATGCAAACAGATGCTCTTCAACCCACAGTTTTCAAACTAATTAGATGGACACAATTAATGTGGGGCTTGGGGCAGTACTCACAGGACATCGGCGGAGAGGAACACCCCATACTGTACCTGAGTCAAAAATTATTTCAAAAATTATTTATGAAAAGGCATACTCAGTAATAAAAAAGGAAACTGTGGGTATCAAGTGGGCCATGGATACTTTACGTTATTACTTATTGGGGACCTCCTTTTTGCTGATTATGGACTGATGACTGCACATAAGGAAAGACACAAACACGAGGATCATGCATTGGTACCTAGTTCTACAACTGTACAGATGTCCCACAGAGCAGGCAAGGCTCATACAAACACGGATTTCTTTTCTCAAGGTACAGACACTACAACTGACAAGGACAGCATGCACAATGCACAACATGAATCCCGGGTGTCATTTTTGAGTGGGAGGGTATGTGAAGGCATGTATAAACCCTGCACTGACAGGAAAGGGGCTTGGGCTGCTCTGTGTGCTAAGGTTGCCCCGCCCCTCTGGCCCTGCCAGTCATGCATGTTAGGGAGGAAGGCTGTAAAATGAGGAAGCTGCAGTATGCAAGGGGGGAAGCCCTGAGAAGGGAGCGACTGGAGTGGTTTCTGAAATAGCACAGGGAACCCTCACGCAGAAACACTCCCAGTGAACCCCAGGGGCAAGCCCTATAGAGAGAAATTGATTTGGCTACTCAGCCATAAGAACATTTGACAAAGCTGCTGCCCAGGCACCCCTGAAGTAAGGTGGTGCCACAGACACTTTTGCTTTTTATTGACGCCAGGAGGAGCTTGTTTTGTGTTGAATCTGAACTTTTGCTTTTCCCCCACCTGTAAACAAAGTAAGCAAGCCCACAAGGGCAGGGCCCGCTGCCAGGGACTAAGACTCTGTAGCCTGTACTGGGCCAATCCCGTGGTGGGAACTGGACCTGCTGAGCAGCCCTAGCCTTGCTAGGGAGGTGCCCCAGAGAGATACTTTTTACAAGGACTCTGCACAACTATGGATGTCATAGAGCATTGGCTCTCAACCTTTCCAGACTACTATATCCCTTTCAGGAGTCTGATTTGTCTTTGCGTATCCCAAGTTTCATATCACTTAAAAACTACTTGCTTACAAAATCAGACATAAAAATACAAGTGTCAGCACACTATTACTGAAAAATTGCTTACTTTCTCACCTTTACCATATAATTATAAAATAAATCAATTGGAATATAAATATTACATTTCAATGTATAGTATATAGAGCAGTATAAACAAATCATTGTATGAAATTTTAGTATGTACTGACTTTGCTAGTGCTTATTATGTAGCCTATTGTAAAACTAGGCAAATATCTAGATGAGTTGATGTACCCCCTGGAAGACTTCTGTGTTCACCCAATTGAGAACCACTGTCATAGAGGAGATCTTTGTGGTATATCACTGCATCAAACCCCAGCCATGGAGGGAGAAGAGTGGCCGGCTACTTCCCCATATCCTATAGTAACATCCATGTCCTAGCCGCTTGGACATGCTTACAAGTCCGATTTTCAGCTGTGTAACATTTTAGGATGTAGCAAAGACCTTTTACTCATCTTTGCTCCATTTCCCAGGGTTTGGCTCTCTAATTACTTTTTTCTATGTAAATTAATTTTCATTACGTTTTCACCAAAAACAAGCTTGAAATTTGCACAACATGCTATCCTGTGGAGTATCAGGGCATGTCTACACTAAAAAGGTAAGTCGACCTATGTTAGGTCAACTTAACAACCACAGCAGTAATGGGGAGCCCAGTTGCTGCCTGGTGTCTCCCCGTGGGGAGCATGGCAGCTGCCCCGAGACTCCTGATCCCCACGGGGAGCCTGGTGGCTGCACTGAGGCTTCCGGCTCCCATCAAGAGCTGCCCAGACTCCAGGCCCAGAGCTCCCCTCTGGGAGCCCAGCTGCAGTGGGGAGCTGAGAGCCCGAGGGAACAGCTGAGCTCCCAGTCGAGAAGAGCTGGGAGCCTCCAGGCAACACCAGGGCTCCCTATGGGGAGCTGGGAGCCTCTGGGCAGCTGTCCAGCTGGCAGCAGAGAGCCAGGTGGGCACAGCCCAACAGGAAGCCTGGGGGAAGCCAGGCTCTAGCTAGAGCCCCTCACTTGCCTCCAATGACAGCCTGACTTTCTTATCAATTTCACAGCTTCAGCATGGAGCTGTGAAATTCACAAGAATGACAGCCAACAGCCAATGTAAGTAACACAGTGTCTACACAGACATTACATTGCCCTAACTATACCTACATGGGCCCTATGCCTCTCATGGAGGTGGAGTTATCATGTTGGTGTAGTAGGGCAGTTACATCAGCAGGAGCAAAACTGTAGTGTGTACACCGACCTGATTAGGTCAACATAAGCTGCCTTGCATCAACCTAACTCTGTAGTGTAGACCAAGCTTCAGAGTTGACTCACTCTCACTTCTCTCCTAGGCCAGCTGAGGAGCATTGCAAAGGCAGTATGCTCAGTCACTGGGGAAACAGCGCTTCATGTTGCTCTGCAGTGACCCTGTGCCATTTCAGGAGTGGTGTTGGTAGGCTTCTGATAGAGCCCAAACTTTCCATTCACTGGATGGTCATCGTGATATGTAGCTTTGGGCCAAAGGGGGGGAGGAAATAAAGCAGAAAAATATCTGGGATTCTCAGCCTTCAGAGGACCCTGAGCCTCCAGTGTAACAAAAAAAGCTAAAATTGAAATATTAATTGGTTGCAAAATCTCTACAAACTACAGTTTACAATCCACAATGTTACTGGTATATGTCTCCTCCTGATACATTTGCCTAGTATCCATAAATATCAGCTCACATCTAAATCATTGGATCTTTATGAAAGGTGACGTGAACACTGATTAGGATTAATAATATCCTTATACTCTCATCTGCAAAAATTAGATAAGGCTGAGTAAACTGCTGTATGCTGTCTATTTTACCCAGTCACACACATTTCCATACAAATGAGTACCTGTTTTATGTCCAAAAGAGCAGCAATCCATCTTCAAATCATAAAACTTGCAAGAAATGCAGAATTGCTATACAGAACAAGATATTAATTTGAAAAACCTTACAAAATATCGCAAAGGAAATTGCGTTCATTATGTTTGCTTACCCACCAATTTATGCAGAATTTTACATGTGAAACTACACTAGTACTTATAGCAGATTTGAAAGATCCATTAGAAAGTAAATTTTACTATATAAAGCCACATTCCAGTCAAGGGAATTTTTGTCTGTTTTGTATATTACCTATGGAATTAAAAGGGACCTCATGCCTAGTAGGTGGGCAAGTGAACAAATACAGAGGAAGGAGCAAAAAACGTTCCTATCCTTTGCACCACCAATACAATGGCCAAGCACGGTCACTGTCCCTCCCAGCACCCATTGGGTCACAAGCCACCCCAAAGATGTAAAGGATGATGTAGTGGGCGTGTTCCCCCTGCACATCTGGGAAGGAAGTGTACCTTCTTGAAACACAATCCTGCCCAGAGAAACTGCTGGGCTTGTATATCACTCCTAATGCAAAACTATGTCTCTCAGGCATAACTGAGACATTCTGCAACACATTATATTAAACATTTTGACTTTTTTGTATGGTATATAATGTTATAACAAAAATCTGTACACATGAAAAGCAAAGGAATGCACATTTCAAAGTATGGCATTTGATGTCATGAAGTATTGATATAAACTAGTTGCACTATGGTTAACTGGTCTAAAACTGTTCAATAGGTGAGTCTTCTATCAATCCTTAGATATGGAGGTTTCCATTTTTACTTCCATCTGGTTCTGAGGCCTTATACATAAAATTGATGAGAATCATTTTCACAGGCTTTGGACGGACTACAGAAGAATCAGGCTTGATGCTTTTCAGAAGATGGCCCTGACATGATTTTTATTGTTCAATAGTAATAAACCATATTCAAATCTACCTTGATAAATTTAAAATACCATTACTGATAATATTTATATCGTATTGTTCATTGATTTCTTCTTATAAGTTTCTATAGGGAACTTTTCCCTTGATATTTCAGGATTATGGTCTTACTCCCAAATATGTAATTAAGCGAAGCGAGGAAGTAAAGAGAGCCCAAGAAGAGTATGATGCGTATGTCAAGGAGACTCTGAGGCAAAAAGCCATGAAACGGCTTTCTGATGAAGAAAGGGAAAGTCTCCTACAGGTATGCATTTTGATTTAGGTTTCATAGTGGTAAGTACAAAAGACAAATTAGATTTGTATTTCCATATAAGTAACAGAAAAGTATACAATGTATCAAAGTACTATGGTGCACAAGAAACAATGCATTTGGATTGGCTAGCTTTTCACTAGATGGAGCTCAAGAATAATTATAGGTAGGGCTGGGCAAACAATCTGATCTGACTCAAATTTCACAGGTTCAGGATGTTCTAAAGTTCAATTTTACAGGTATCTCCCATCTGGGGCTCCAGTTCTGGATCCCTTCCCCCACAGCTTCAGTGAAGTCAGTGAAGCTCCAGGCAGCTACAGGGATTCAACACCAGGGATCCAGCTGCAGGATTAGTGCCCTTGAGTCTTAGATAAATACAACTTCTTCTTTTTTTCCAAATTCATGACAGCCCATGTTTAATGTATAGTGTATTTCATACAACATGTATTCCAAAATGTTTTCCAGTGTTAGATAATACAGGGGAAAGGGTTAGATAACAAATAATATCAGAGGGAGAGAGAAATAAAGAGGTATAGGCAAGGGGAAAAAGAGACGTTTTCAGCTGAGACTTGAAACAAGGTGTGAGGTGGAGAGATACAGACAGAAGACTGTCAGAGATGTCAGGAGCTGTCAACAAGAAGGCTCCCGCACCAATAATGGCAAAATTGTGTAAAGCAAAAGAGAGAAGGCTACTACTATTTCTCAGTTTTCACCATGGATTGTGAAAGTGGTGAGTCTTTTATTTATAACCTCACAATAATAGTTATAGAGGAAGCATGTTCATTGTAAGTGCCTATTTATTGGCCCTTTGTAACATTTATTTGGGGGGAACCCTACCATCTGGGCTGGAATTTCTCTTGCTTTTTCTTTTTGTTTGATAACATTCTGTTCTGACATTTGTCAGATATCAGAGTGTGACGAAAGAAGTACTTTTTGCTAGTTAATTTTTCAGATACTTATTTTATTTGGATAATCCAATATCTTCTTTTAAATTCTTTATGATGTCACAACAAATAAATGGAAATAATTAGAGACAAAAATCTGAAATTTCTTTCAATTTCACTTACTTTGGGTATACTCTTTATGAGGAAAAAAAGCTTTGAGAATAGATTCAGTATATTTGTCTCAGTGATTCAGAATTCATAATTTTTTATATAGGGTTAGGTCATCAGTTTACAATCTTGCCCATAAGAAGGATCAGCACATTGTTATGCTGCCTCTGGAGCAGCCCTGGAGGGAGATTTTGACTCTGTGTTTTGGGCTCCCCGCTTCTCCAGGGAGGAAGTAAACACCGATAGGTCTATACACTGAAGTCCGTGTGAAAACTCCCATTGTCTTCAGTGGTGCAGATCAGATCTGAATTGCACACATTAAAAGGTGCCTCTAAATGACAAAAATTAATGACTCTTCTAGGAGGGTTTCAGAAATCCTGTATTCATTTTCATATTTAAATACAAAACAGTAAAGAATGCCTTATATCTGCTGAATTACTACTAGCTTCATACACATATTTTACTGCTTTTGATTGTAGAGAAAAATAACATTAAAAACCAGCAACTAAACAGGTCCAAATTCTGCCTTTAGATGCACATGCTGCCATAGTCTGTTTTTAAAAAAAAATCATTTACAGATTACATTACCAGATTATCATTAAAGATTTTGAAAATACCCATCACAAATAAAACACAGCCATGCACAGATACATGCTACAAGTACACAGATAAAGCAAGTCTTGTAATGCCAAATGTAGTCACTTTAGAATACCATTTTAAATCTGTAATATATTAATGTTCCATTAAAATGTAAGCATTGCTTAGATCACCCTACTTATTTTAGGACACCAGGCCAAATTCATCCTTGCTATTATTACATTGACTTTTAAGAGATTAATGAATTGTGCCCATTTATTTGGCCCCATTAAATATTATCCAGATGTTAATCAATTATTTTAACTTCTGTTGATTGTTACTGGGGGGTGAGCACATATCATAGGGCAAAATGTTTGTTAAAATTGCTAAATACTTTATATAAATATAGCATTTCAACAAAATAAATTATTCTCATAAGTTTTCTTTTCATATAATGGATTTAGGGTCTGAAAAAGAATTGGGAAGAGGTACATCATGAGTTCCAGGGCCTTTCGGTAGACATAGACACCTTACCAAAGAAGATTCGTAAACAAAGGCTGGAAGCACAGATGAAACAACTGGAGCATGACATTAGTATAATTGAGAAGCACAAAATTATCTATATTGCAAATAAGTAAGAACTGCCTTGCAAAGAATTTTTTTTACCCTGAGAAGAAAATGTAGATGCCTAGAAGAAGGAAGTGAAACAAGTCCACCTTATTCAGAGAAAGAGAAATAGCTAATTATACAAATATAATAGAATTTTAGCAAGTTCTTACATTTAAGGAATTTTTCATCTATATAATTCACATATTTTTTCAAATAAAATTTTATATTAGTTTAATTTTCAGTGAAGAAATATGTTTTATTTGTTATTAAAGTAAATCTCTTTTATCTAGTTTTCCTGTGAATGTTATATAAAAGACTGATAAAAGACACAGTTAAAAGATACAGATAAAAGACACCCTAACCTAGACAACATGTTGACCTTCTTGTAGCCCAGTGGGTTAGTTTGCCTTTGTTATATTCACTGCTACTGTAGCCCAGTGGGCTAGCTTGCCTTTATTATATTTAGTGCTTTGCATTATATTCTGCTTTGCATTATATTCAGCAGTAATGCGAGAAACCTACAGGCCTACATCCTGTAAGACATTAGCTTCAGCAAGTTAGCATAAGGCTTGAGGCCTGTGAACTTTGAACAGATAAACTTTGCACCGATAAATGGTCCAATGGAAAATGCCAAGTATTTGGGGAGCTGAAGATAGAGTTTAAAGGGAAGTTCTGACCACAGGTACATAATTCAACCACAGAAGTGTCCTGGCAATGAACTGACGTACATAACACGTACATGAGATACATCTAAGGCTAGCCTGCTTGCTTCCCTATATATCTTTTCTTATACGTTTCTTATTTTCTTATAGGTTTGATTATTTGTTTTATTATAATAAGTTTACAGGTTTATATTACAGTATATTTTGACTGTAACATAAGGGGCCTGCAGGTTACATCCTGTATGTTGAACTAAGGCAAAGTTAGCATGCATATGTTTGGGACCTTTCACCTAGATAGATGGTGTTGAGCTAAAGCATAAGACCAAACATGGCTGCGACCTTTAACATATAGGTCAGACCATCCGCCCCCCAGTCATGACATGTAGAAAGCTTCTAATGTACTCTTTAGGTCCTGATTCTCATTTTATGCTAAAGTCACTAGTCTGGCAGTGAAAAGGAGCCTTAATGTGGGTGAAAATTATAATTCTACTCATTTTAAACCCTGGTCCTGTGTTAATTGGACACGCAAAACTGCCCTTGAAGTCTGCTATGGGAGTTCTGGGTGTGCAAGGAATGTAGGATTGGATCCAGTGACCTTGTTTTGAAGCAAGTTTGTTTATTAATGGAGGATATCATATACCTTGGAAGATGCCAGCAGCTGTTCAATGTGTAATTTACATCCACTTTTTACATAATTACTAATACTGTATATTTCAACAGAGAGCATATGGTATGGCAATGACTCAATGAAGTGACACACTATTTCTGAAGTAAGTACACAGGCCTTTCTCAAAAAAACACAAACTTTATGGTTATTGTGGATGCTTCTAGTTTCCTGAGTGAAACAAAAGTAGTTTCCAATCTCGGGAGGGCTGTGGAGGAACTGCATTCCATCCCAACTGCCTGGAGCATTGGACTGAGCTGGGCCACAGATTTGGATTTGGGTCCCCCATTTGGCAATACATTGGGCGGCCACTAGTCTGTTTGAGCAGCCATAATGATTTTATTTGTATAATCCACAATAGCACTTTTGCATACAGATTGTTGAGACTTGGAATATTCTCCTCTTGGGGAATGTGCATAGCTTCTGTAACCATACTGAGAGGATATAATCTTTCCATTCATTTAAATATATATTTTATGAGTATTATGAGAACTCCTGAGTGTAGATAAAATGTTATAATGAAAACCATTGAAATTACAGATACAAGGAAAACAGTCTTATCCTTTAACTCTCTCCAGGAAGTTTGACAAAATACACTTAGAGAATCCAAAGAATGTAGCTCTATATTAATATGTGCAGGAAATGCCAATGATTGAAGCTGCAGTACACTTGAATCAGCTTTATATGCACTTTCAGTGTAAGTAAAGCTACAAAGGCAAATAAACTTCAATTGTTGTCTCATTAGAATTGTTCCTTTATAAGTGAACAGAACAGAATAACAACAGTAGGAGAGAGGGCTGAGTTGTTTTTATAGGTCAATCTGTTCTCTGATCTGTATGGCAGATCTTGATTCCAATAATCTGTTTGACATGTATGGAATTCGCTAGAGAGCAGAGAGTCTGAATTGGGAGCTACTGTGCAGATCAATGAGCAGAATTTTGCTCTTTCCTTTCTTTTTTTTTATAAATAACTATGTATAAATACTAATGTAGTAATAAAAATGTAGGACCTCAAACATTTCTAACAGCTCATTTCAACATCAGAGTACCTCCTGTGGTTCTCATTTGCAGAGAAATTAATATTCTTCAGCAGGAGCCTGCAGCCTGACCCATCTTGGGTACCAGTGTGATATTCCGACTATTGCCAAGAATGTTAAGAGAGGAAGTCCACTGAGAGTTGTGAAGAAGATCTTGAATTCTGTATTGGTGGTGGGCTTTCCTGAATGACGTAAGGTTATTCAGCCAAGGAAAAGCCTTAAATGTGAAATTCTAAACCCACTGAAGTCAACAGGAATCTTTCTATTGGCTTCAGTTACCTTTGAATGAAGCCTTAAAAGAGCAACTGACAGGACAATTAAAAAAAACACACTCCAAGAATGATAATTAAGAGCATGAAGACTTCCTACAGGTGGCAACTCTGGTTAGAAGGAAAAGATGTATCTTTTTGTTTGATGCTACATTTGGCTTTTCCTATTAGCTTTGCCAACTGTGCCCCACTTATTGCACAGGATAATTGAATCTTGTGCTAGAATAAAATTCAGGCTTGAGAAACTAATTATGCACTTCTAGATGTGGAGCTAAAACTTCACAGGAATTGAATGTGGGCTGCAGGTGGAGCAGAGCTCATTTGTACAAGTGCTGCATCTGTTGGTCAGCTTTACAACTTGCTATAGCCTGGTATGGTACCACAGTAAAGAGCTTGAACCATATTCTATCATCTGTCTTTGTGAAACATCATTAAGCTCAATGGGATTTCTGTCCACAGAGTGAGAGCAGTATCACTCTTTTAAAACATTTTATTTACCTTTTAGAAAACATTACATCATGCTCAGGTATTGATAAACCGCTGACAAAACAGAAACCTGTACAAAATTAAAAATAAGGTCAAAATACACATAGTATAATTTTCAAAAAGAAAAGGAGTACTTGTGGCACCTTAGAGACTAACCAATTTATTTGAGCATGAGCTTTCGTGAGCTACAGCTCAAAATAAATTGGTTAGTCTCTAAGGTGCCACAAGTACTCCTTTTCTTTTTGCGAATACAGACTAACACGGCTGTTACTCTGAAACCTGTCATAGTATAATTTTGTCAGACTGAAGTCCTGTGGCCTTCTCAGGTGGTGACTATCAATATTAAAATGAAAAAAACAGGAAAAAATTCACACTGCACTTATCTATAATGTTTCTTTGATAGATAAGAGAGATGCTGCTGCAAATTGAGACTATTTGCTCCTGAAAGTTATGCATAGCAAAACTGTATGCCTGTTTTTAAATACAACATGAAACAATGACAAATATCTAAGTTGCTGTCCTTCTAGAATGAAACTATTTATATCCTGGAAGTATGGAATCAGATATGGCATCATCGCAACAAGGGGAGTCCCCAGTAGTATGGCTCTGATGGAGATCTTTAGATCAGGAGCCCATGCAGAGGCACATACTCTCTGTGGGTATGTCTACACTGCATTGTAAAACAGGGTCTGTGGGAACTTGTACCTGTGGGCTCCAAGTGTTTCCAAGACTGCACTTGAGTATCCACACTGCATTTTAAACCTGAGTTTACAATTTATGGACCTCCATACTGCACTACTCAGACCCAAAGCAGATCTTCTGCTTCTGGAGACATGTCCGATAGTGCCTAGTGCCCTCACCAGCTGTAGCTTCTCCAGGCCTTTGTTCAGAGTGTATTGTGGGAAAACTTGTCTGTCCATGCCACAGCACTTGAACAGAAGCCCACAAACACATCCAGACGGGCCATTTCTGGGTCTGCATGCTCCCAGCAACTGGAGCCAGCAACATGGGTCCAGCACCAATAGAAGAATTTGTGCAGCTTGCGCTTTCAATCCTATTTCAGGAGTCAGCCAGAATATCCATGAGATGCTGGTGGACATTTTGGCAGCAGTTTTTTCTCCCATTGACTGCACCTTGTGGAGAGTGGTACAGCCCTAATATAACACACCAAATGTAGATGGTGCATCCTAGTGGTTGGAACAGGAGTCTAGGTTAGTGGTCAGAGTAGAATATGGCAGCATGGCCAGGTGACAAGCCAGTGGTTGTAGTCAGGAGTTCTGAGGAAGGTCGGGACTAGGGCTGGAACGGGAGCAAGCACGGTTTGGAGCAAGGGCTAGTACAGGAAGCAGGTCTGGAGCTGCTGTGGGCACTGAACACGCTGAGCAGCCACAGCCTGCTACTGTTGCTACAAGGCTTAAATGGTGATCTGTTGCCCCTTCTGTCCAATCAGGGAGCACAGTCACTACGTGAGGGTTTATTGAGAACAGACAACCTCATTGGGTTGCTAGGCAACTGTGCCCAGACCCAGGTGAGCTCTTGACACCTGGCAGCTGCGTCTTGTTGGTTGCTGGTTGCCATAACCACAGATTCCCCATATGTAGACCACCATTTTTGGAGCAGGGCCATGAGCACAGACTGGTGGGATCACATTGTCATGCAGACCTGGGGTGAGCAGCAGTGGCTCCAGAATTTTTGCATGAAGAAGCAGATACTCCTGGAGCTTTGTGAGCAACATGAGATGATCCTCTGGCATCAGGCCACACACATGAGGGAAGTCATGCCAGTCTAGAAGCAGGTATCTATACCCATCTGGAAGCTGACTACCTCAGACTGTTACATATCTGTAGCTATCCAGTTTGATGTTGGTAAGACCACTGTTGGGGTTGTGGTAGTGGAGGTTTGAGAGCTGATCAGGACTGTGACATACCCAAAGGTGGTGAGCATAAGCACATCCCTGAAGTAATTGCTGGTTTTGAGAGAAAGAGATTTTCAAACTGTACCAGGGCCATTGAAGGGACTCATATGACCATAGTTTGCCCACTGCATGGAACACATGAGTACATAAAATGAAAAGGGTACTACTCCTCCATTGTGCAGGCCCTGGTTAACCACAGAGCA